CAAACAATATACAGAAAACCTCGCTGCAAAGTTACAAAACTCAAATCAAAAATATTATTTAATTCTACCTTTTCCTGGGTTAGCTTAATCGAGCTCTGAACAACCCAGCCCAGGAGCTACACTTTAAGGCTGGCCTAAATCTATATATTATTAGTATTGTAAGTAATTTAAGTATTGGAGGTAATGTTAGTATTGGTAGCGTAAGTAATGTTAGTATTGTATGTAATATTAAAAAAAAAGATCAGATGTCCAAACCACCATTCTGATTCATTATTTCTTTATTTCAATGCATGCACTTTTATTTCTCTGTATGTTTATTTGCAGTGGCACTATTTCATGAACTGTGTAAGGCTTTAGAGGTACTGACTGATCCAAAAGCAAAAGCGGCTTATGATGCTGTACTCAAGGCTAAAGAACAAGCAAGACTACGCACACAGGCCTTGGATGCCAAAAGGAAGAAGTTCAAACAAGGTAAATTGTTACTAACAATTCCAAGACAATTAAGTTTCTAGGACAAAATGTATTTAACAGCAAATAGGAGTTATATTTCGATCATTTCCTTTGCCGTGAGACTTAATTAATAATTATCACTGTCCATGTTACAGACCTTGAACAAAGAGAGGATGCAGCAAAAAATGAAAAGGAAAGTGAAGAAATGGCAGCAAAGAATTTACAAGCTGAGGTAATAATGATGATGAGGATGATAACAATAATATATAATACTTACTTGTAGTTGAAACAATAAAATTATTTTAAATTACAAAATCAATGATTTAAAAAAAAAAATGATCATTTCAAACCAAAAATTGATGCACCCTTGAAGAAGTTTAATGGGCTTGTTGTCAGGTACATGACTGTACTTGATCTTGACTATTTGAAGGCAAATCCTGTGTTTCAATGTGAAATGGCAATTGTTGTTGTGGTTATTTTGCCAGATAAAAAGGCTAAGAGAGGAAGGATCAAAGCTTCTAAAGGAACAGCAAGAAATTCTCAAGGCTCAGTTAAGAAAAGAAATGGAGTCAGGCCAGGATGAGACAAAGTCTGAAGAAGCTACTCCAAAATTAAAGGTACATGATTAAGTAGTGTTATACAATTTGGTCTGATTAACACTTGTTGCCTCAAATCTGGAAGTGACAGCAATGTACTTAATATGTGATCTGAAATATGGCCTGAAACTATTTACAGTCAATGGTCAAGTGTTGTGTGACTGACAACAGAATAATTTTTGTTTCTTTTTTTCCGTAGGTGAGATGGAAGAGTAAGAAATCTGATGTTACAAATGGGGGATACACACAGGAAATGCTTCAATCATTATTTGAAAAGGTAAACAATCATAAATTTCATGTTATGTTATTAGAAGTAGACTTCTATTAGAAAGCTATTTTTAATAAATATGAATGTAATCTTAATCTGCAGATGAACATAATCTTTACTAAACTAGTGGTATTACAAATACAGTAAGTTTCATGATAACATTGTAGTAACACATGTATTTTTCACTCACATGAATGTACGATGATTGTAGTGCATGCACACTTCCTACTTCAATGTCTCATATTAATTATTGTCTACAGTTACATGTAAACAGAAGTTCAGCTGTAATAAAAAGTATCCAAAGGATTACCACGTAGTATAATTTCAGCTAACATTAAAATTTGAGCAGAATCATTGAAAGTGGTTTTATTTGTCCCCTATAATTTTCATGTAGTATGGTGAAGTGAGCTATGTGATTGTCTCATCCAAGAAGAAAGGAAGTGCCGTGGTTGAACTGAAATCGGTAGCAAGCGCAGTAAGTATTCAGTCTCATGAAATTAATGGTTTTTTACACATTGTCCAGACTGAAAATAATCTATTACAAATGTCATATTGTTGTTATAAGGATAACTGTAATTTGATGGATAACATTAGAATCAGGTGTCCAATACATGGATGTTAGAAACATTCATTTGTTGTCTTTGGTTCGTTCTTTGTTTCAAAATCATCTTTGTTGAATTTTAGTTTTTAATTACAATGGAATCCCCATTTCCCGAACCCTCAGTTTTCCAAACCTCCTGATGACTCAAACCAAAAGTTGTTTTCATTCCTCAGTCAACCATTGTAATTTTACCCCTGAACCAATTTTCCTTTCCCTTGGAGGTTCAAAAAATCAGGATTCCAGTAGTGTTTTAGTTGTATGGGAATTCTACATTCTTGAGAAGGAAATCTGGATCTTACTGTGCTTAATAAAAGACTTTCATTCTCCTGACTCAGAATGGGGATGAAATTTAAACCCTACCTTCTGTTGCAGAAACTTGCTCTGGAAAATGAGTGCGGCATTCCTGGTAACCCTCTCAAAATATCTTGGTTGGATGGCTTCTCATCTGCAACTGATGCAAACTCAGAAACAGTTTTAGAGCATTCAGATTCAACAAGGATCACCAGTGGTGGAGCTGCAGTTGAATCCAAGGTAATACTGTGATCTTAGATTTTTTTGACTGGGGAATTAGTAAAACAACACTCTTACTAATATCATATTAGCTTCCAGAGTCATCGTTTTCATCAGACAGTACCATATCTGACAAAGATTACGAAAGTGTTGTGTTGATGAAACTTCGCCAGTTTGAGGAAAGAAAACGACTGATTAAAGAGATGCAAGAAGAAGATGAGCAGTGAAGTCACCTAGCTGCATACACTGTATACAAGACCATACTTGTTTAAAGATTTCATCTCCTTCCCAGAGTGGAGGCAATAGTCAAGTAACTGGAGTCAGTATGACAGCTGCAGTTGAAGTCATCATTATCAGTCGTCTTGGGTGGCCCTTGACGAGACCTGCAGCGCAGCTTTTCAAAGAAAATAGAGGAGCAGAAACCTCCCCCGTCACTTCAGAGTTGGCAAAGTTTCAGAGACAAGCATCTGTTTTGTCAAGTTGTTTCATGCAACTGCTCCTTAAGGAATGAGCAAATAGACTTCAAATGTGGACAGGACCACTTAAAAATTTCAGTATGCATCTGACATTAAAGGTGATGTTTCAAACATAAGCCCTTTGTCTGTGCCCTAATGGGCTAACAATAGAAACACTGTTTTGCACTACAGTGGTAAAACAACAACAGCAAGAGACTTTTATTAAGTTCACAAAGTTAATAAATACATGTACATGTAGTATGAGTTGGTAAACAACTGAACCAACATCTATCAAGTGAATTGAAATGAACTTGTGTTCAGACTAACAAAATGACTTTGGTTACAAATTATTGTGCAGTTTTACATTATGGCATAGAAAATAAGACTGAATAAATTCCAAACTTGCCTCTTGTACAGGGAATACAAATAGGATGTCTAGTCTACAGCATTTTATTTTTTAATGACTTAATTGACATGCAGACAATATATGTACATTTGTATGGTTCAAACTATAATAAAACACTCAATAATTGTTATTGAGTATTTTAATTATTTAAACTGTGTGTGCCAAGATTTCCTGTTATTCACAGGGTAATTTAAATAAGTATATCTACAGCGTAGTCATACATGAATAAAGTATTAATATTTCCCCTTTGTTTGTCCTTTTGCATTATTTATCTGTGCAAGAAAATTTTCCATCCAAAGCTACTTGTAGCTTCAGTGAGTGTGTTTGCACTCAAAGCTTGATTCATTGGAAGACAAGAATTTTCATGTTTATCTGAGGAAAGACAAAGACAGATATTGTACATTAGCTACAGCACCATCTTACACAAACAGCTGCAGAGCTTCAGTGAATCATTATACCCATGCCAATGAAATGAGGCAGTCAAAGACCCAGGAAATTCCAAAGGGGAGGGGGATTGGATAGTCAATTTAGTTTTCAGACGTCCCAATCTATTCAATGGTACAGATTCAAGTATCGATCTAGCTGTTCAAAATCCTTTCTTACCTGTAATACTCATGAAAATTTCAGAGGGGTGGGGGTGGGGGGTTATATTTGTATTCAAAGAATGGAAATTCCAGGGAAGAAGGAGGGGTTCATTAAATTCCCTCCATGGTGGGGGTATGGATATTTTCTGGAACTACCCAATGGCAATTAAAAAATGGAAATATTGCTGAAAAAAGTAACGTGAATATTGGCATGTAGTGCCAACATTTGTGCAGACCAGACCCTCTACAGCTATATGTGATGTGCACCCTTGGCTAGTGCTTTCTGCCACTCTTCTGAGTTCATTTTTTTCCAGAACACTGACTGGTAACCTAGCAAAAGGTTTACGTGAGTTGTAAAGGAGCGCATTGCAGTACACCATTAAATTAATGATGACCTCTTTTGAGGTCGTAAATTTACCATATATTCTAATGCTAATTTACCTGTCGGCTTTCCCGTTATCTAATATCTCCTGATCATCGTCAGCTTTGTGCAGAGTCCAGATAATTGTCTGGCCGACACCAGTTGCCGTAACAACTTTGTAACCTATCTGCTCCAGTTTGTTGAGCACTACACGAGGTGGATCCTATGAAATGTACTCTTTACTACAAAAGGAAAAACATTTGTGGTTCCTGATTAATATGTGGAATTAAAGGTAGACTGCTGTTAGCTGGTCTATTTTCTTAGGGTTATAATTATTCAAGTGTTTATCTGTAAACACAAATGCAGAGGTTCCCTTCTGGTCTAAAACATTTAACCCCGTACTTCCTGCCATATTTTGAGAGAAAAACAGACATTTACAGCTGTAAAGCTATTTCAGTGAACATAATGAGAATGCTTTATTGATTTATTTATAATTGTTTAAATTATTCTGGGGGATGGGGGTTGAGACACATCAGCTGATCTTACCCGTGGAAGGGTCAGTCACTTTTCCTACACTTGATGCTGAAGTTGGGCTGTAGACTTGCTTACATTCATACATGTACATATACAGACATGAACTTTATTTTAGTGTGACCTTTATGAACTTTCTTTGCATCATGAGAGAAGTAATCAGTATTAAACCCTAAGTCGTCAGTTCAGACCTCAGAGACCTCCATTTTCAGTTAACTTTACAAACTTGGTCCGTCGGCCCTCAGACACATGTAGCTACTTACAAGTTATTTCCAAACGTGTGCACCAATTGTGCTCCCAGATACTTCATTATTTCTTTGTCTGCCCATTCGTCACCGCAAGTCGTCGGTCCACTGGCCTGATTGAAGTCAAAACACCGCAAAACAACATCAGCTTACAATGCGTAGATGAACATGTTAAAGGGCGACTTCTACAGTGATTTATCTGCCATGCTATCAGTTTCAATTTGCAACAAGGCTAAGATTATCTGGAAAAAAGTTCTTACCAGCCTTATCTGTGTACTAATTAAGACGTGAGGCATAGTGGTTGCGTTTTAAGGCAAAAATATAGTTCCAAAAGCTAAGAATCTCCACGCATTCCTCCTTTTACGTTTTGAGCCCGCGATGCGAAAATGCGAACGTGAAAAACAAGATGGCGGCTTGGTTGCTATCACTTGATCTTCCCTTATCTTTAGGACGAAATGTTCTTGTAGGAGTCTCAATTGGCCTGGGAATAGGCATTGGTATTGGCGCGGGAATGGCTGCTTCAAGAAGAATGTTCACTGCGAAAGTTCAGGATCAAAATCTTGTAGTTCGTGTTACTGAGTTGACAGAAGAAATAAGAGAACTTCGTTGTGTTATGGTTAGACTTGAAGTCACGTTTAGTGAAACTAGAAATAAACGAATTGTTCCTCTGAACGATCAACCAACTGTCCTACAAAGTGACGAGGAAACAGAAGAAGATGAATATTATGAAATGTCTGGCGAGGAGCCATCTTCAAGGTCAGTCACTTTAAATCTTTATTAAATCTTTAACAAGTCACTCTTACAATGTAAGTAAAAAAACTGTAAGCTTACTAGGAGAATTATAAATATATAAAATTAATTAGTGTCACCCAGCTAGTGGACTAATGAAAATTCCTGCATTTGATTGGCTGCGCTACTAGAGAACTATAAGTAATAGTCCTCGAGTAGCAAAATTGGCGCAATCAAGCGTGATGCTTTCTCTCGTCTTATTACTTAATAGATATTTCCTCAACTTGCATTTGCTAACTTTATTATTGCCTTTTCTGTCCGACTACTTTGGTGATACTAAAACAATTAGACCCTTCGCCCTCAAGGGCCACGGGTCAATAGCCCATGAGGCAAAGGTGAATGGGCTATTGACCTGTAGCCCTTGCGGGCTATGGGTCTAATTGTTAAATATTCACACCTCATTCTAATCAATGTACAGTGTATTCATTCACTGTAGCGTGAAGTCTTACATGTTGTTAGGTCTTACAACAGTGAATGTAAGCTGCATGTTGAATACTCCTGAAGAAATACAGCTGTTTGCCATGCCTCTTAGAATAAATCTCTGAGGCCAGCTACGTCATGTATGAACTAGATAGAAACTTTATTAAGAATGTCATCAACCACCTAGCTGGGGAAAAACTCCCCTACTAATACGGGACATAACAAAAACAAGTTAAATTAGAAGAAAAAACCTATAGCTATTTACAATAGTAAAATTTAAATCCAAGTTAAAATATGTTATGAGACTATGTACAGTGGATTTTATAATACAATAATACATACTTAAAAAAATTCGTTAGGAGGAGCAGAGCGGACAGCCTCTGCAGCCATCATCTAATAATGCATCAAGATTGTTGAGATTTCTGATGTTCGTCTTAAAAGTGCTGAGAGATGTGGTCTCTCTTATGCTCTTTGGTAATTTTGACCACTGCACGTTTATCTAGTAAGACCACAGATAGCAGATAGCAAAGAAATTGACAGCTGTTGATTGAGGACTATGAATTACATGTATCATTAAAATCTTTGTATAATATTTATTAGTTTGCATAAAGTACAATGCTAACATACTGCAATGTGGTTTGCCATAGTGTGTCTGATATCGACCAGCTCAAGACAGTCATTGATGAAGTAGAGCGACTTCACTCAAATAATAATGCTGAAGACAAGCGTAAAATACATAAACTCCTGCAGGAATGTGTTCAGGTACTGCTTGATCATACATTATTCTAAATCAAACAATTACTTCAAATTACTTTTTATGTATATAAAAGAAGACAGAGAAAGTTAGCGCTTTAAATTTTTACAAGATACTGACCAGGGCTAGCATTAAGTTTTGATTCACTTGTAGCCTTGATCTTCATACCCGTAACAAATTTGTTACCTTTAGAGTGAATTGTATCAATTGCAAGTAAGTTCACATGTAACATTTAGGGCCCATCAAACATAGCAGGTGTTACGGGTTAGAAATTCAGTCTTGTTTATAAAATAAAAGTAAACAAAAATGTTGGTATGGTAACATCTTTTGCTAAAAAACCTATTATTCTATGGTCAAACACCTATGTGATCATTATGGTGTAGCTAGGTAAAAATCAATTATTGCCTTTATACACGTGAAGTTTTATTTTCAAAACNTCCGACAAAATTTCCATTTTATCTTGATAGAACCTGTAATAAGCTCTTAGAATTGTATTTTTTCACTTCATAGTGTTACCAGCAAAACGGCAATGTAGCAAAGGCAACTGAGTGGTTGAAGAAAGCAACGTCACTACCCGTATCCACAGATGATGTGAGTCAAATGACCTAGTGTCTGTTTATTTGTTGTTGTGTTGTCTACGTCGTCATTTTCGGAAATTGCCGTTTCGCCGCCCACACGAAAACGTTTTTAAAGTATGCAATTTTTGGTGAAAACAGTTCTAGCTTTTCATTTTTCATAGACTACCAGTAGTCCCTCTTTTGCTTAGTCCGTCGCGCGTGACGCGAAAGGAAACCTTGAGGGCGTGCGGCCACCTTTTCCTCGAGGTTTTCGTTCGCGTCACGCGCGTCGGACTAAGCGGGCGCGAAAGACGGACTACTCGTAGTCTGCATTGTTCACGTTTTATTACAGAAATACAGTCTAACCTCCAGTTGCGAACACTTCTCGTAAGCGACCACCTCTCCTCACGCTCACCGACCAGTTTTCCAAATTACCATAAGTTTCCAAGTCAAATCTCTATATTTTGAACCTCTCTTAAAAGCGACCGCGACCACTTTTAGAGCTAAAAGTTTGAAATTTTCTTTTGTTCTTAACCTCTCGTAAGCGACCACTTGACAGACCAATAGAGTGGAAATTGGATTAAATGGTGTTGTAACATTATCGCATCTCTGGCTAGTACAAGAGACGGAAATTTCTCAACGGGAAGTAGCAGATGTTTTCTCGAAATTGACATATCACGTGAATAAAACATTTAAAACATGGGGTAAATTTGTGCAGTTACCATATGCCAATGAGGCAAAATTTTAACCCAATATGGTCTAAACTCTCATAAGCTACCTCCTCCCGTAAGCGGCTACGGGAGGTTCGACTGTAGTTATCTGCAACCCCCCCTCCCCTCCCCTCCCCTGCCTACTCAATATACAGCGGTGTATGCTGTTTAAAATATCAAAAACCCTGAAACTAATTTTGAATCAAGTATCTTATGTTATTTTCATTCCTTTTATTGGCAATTTAGGACAAAGAATCATACGATCAAGCTCGACAACTGCTATCCACGTTATGACGATGCCTCCCATTGGCTACCACAAACTGTCTCTAGATTGGCCAGTTGGTTTCACGTGGTCTGGTTACCTGTGCCCAATCTTCAAGCTCTTGCACATGCAATTTATTATGGGAACATTTTGAATGAATTTTGTCGTCTCCTTAGCGAGGAGAGAAAATGAACTAGTAAGACATTTTATCTAGCTCTTTTTTACGAAACCGTTATTTTTTATTTATTCTGTTTTCAGTTCAACAACGATTTTAATTTCTAAATGATATTGAGAAGAAAGCTGCAAGTTCTTAACACTGATTATCTTTACCTTCATTTATATTTTAAGAAATATTCTTTGTCTTAAAAAGACGTTTGTAGAATGGATAAAGCGAGTTACCTGCAAAGCGACTTTAACTAAGTTTAATCTTTACGTTTATATATACAAAAAAAAAGGAAATTATTTTAGCCTACTCTTTAAATATTAAATATGCTTTATCATTTAAATTCACTCAAAAGGCAAAACACGATTTGAAGTCTAGATTTCGGACTGATAAAACTTTGCCTAATAAATCTCTTGATAATTATCACTGTATATTTTTACTCTTTAATCATTTGTGCTTTGATTCACCCTGCGGGCTTTCCAAAATACAAGACTCTTAAAATATATACAGTGAAATCACACAGTAAATTAAAGATTTTCCACAGACGTACTGCAGTTTTTAAGTTTAATTTTCGCATTCTAGTTCATTCGCAGATTAACAAATCGCGGTATGTACTGTGGGACTTCAGTACAGCTTAACACCCAGGGATTTGAGAAAATGGGTTTGTTGCAACGGGGTGTCGTTTTAAATTTTGTCTAATGGTGCAATAACAATGGAATATAATGAAGTTATCACGGACTTCCATCTCTGTTAATCTATTTCACGTTAAGTGTGGTGAAATTTATTCTGTGTTAAATCTGGAAAGCTTTTAAGTTTGACAATCTACATTCTGTTCGTTTTCGCAAGGATTTTGTCATATCGGTGTTCGCTCTATACGAGTGCTGTTCCGTACGTTGTACTGCAACTTTGGCCTTAATGACGTGCAAGTCGTTATATTGATGTTCCACTGTCTTATTTGTCATTTCGTAGAAGAGCCCTCGACATGAATTTCAGTATAATTTTATTCTGTTAAAATGAGCACTTTTTTCTTTTCTAGCACAAAGCTTACCCTGTGTACATGTTTAAATCGCTCACTGAAATAAAGCCAAAAACCAATTTGAATTTGATTGTGAGTTTCTATTTTGTTATCAAAATATTTCATCTACTTCAATCTCCTGAATAAAATGTAGTTCATTTTGTTTTCACTCGAAATACAAATGCAGTTTTCCGAATGAAGAGATAATTATGTCACTGAGTGAAGCAAGTTATATATTTAGGAGCGTGACGCTAAGTAACCACAGTTACAAGATAAAAGTTCAAAAGTCGCTTTTGTCGCTTTAGTCTAATGTCTGTCAAGCAAATTTCGCCGCTCTATTGTTAACCCCAATTTCTTGCTAAAACCACTTTCACAGGCGTAGAAACACTTTACACGAATTCTCGCTTGGCTTTTATTGACGGAATTGTGATTACATGGATGTTTCACACCCGCGTTAAGTGCAATAACAGCTTATTTTTGTCAAGTGAATAAGACTCAGTAAGGTTGTTTCAATCATTTGAGGAACAAATCCTACAATGTTTTAAAAGTCATTTAGCAAAATATTGTGCCTGACATTTAAGGAAGAACTAAAAGCGACTTCTCGAACTCTTAAAATTAATGACGGATCTTTGTTGCTATGTCTGAGTGCTTTTCTTCTTCCTAGTGATATTAATTATCGACACAAAGAACGTTCGGTAAAAATAAATACTAGTATTAAAAGTCTTTGTTTTACTGAATTTCACCTTTATTTTCTTGTTCGCGCATAACGAGTATTTACATTTCGAAAAAGATCCCATTTGAACGTGTAGAGTAACTTATCTTTTTCATTCAGTCTTACTTGGCTTAATAAATAAAACTGCGTACCATTCTCTTAACTTAACACTGTGTTAGTCTTATTCTCGGACTTCAGGACGACTTCTTGCACGGTGAAAATCTTTTAAAAATTATGCAATGATTGCACAACTGTAACAATAAAGACAAATTTGTATATCACATATGATTCATAATATTATTTCGCTGAAGCAAAATTCCAAGAACAATTTTTTCCGCAAACTGTTGGTACTTTTAAATTAACTCCCACTTCATTGAAGAAGTGTGCAGCCGTTTATTTCTAGAGATTTAAAATTATGTCCTCTTCAGTTAACAATTTCCTTATTTCCAATCCCTCTGTCAGCTGTCTGATGAATATTCCATGACCCGTGTCTTAGCAACCCTGAATGTTCACGGGTTTATATACAAAACCTTTTCACTGTAGGAGATATTTTGGGATCTCTAACTGTTCAGTTTCCACTGTATCGCTCGCATCTGTTTTGAGTTTTTGTTGTGTAGTTTTTCCTAGCTTACATTCTTTACGCTTTGTTGAAGTCCGTTTAGTATTTCGTCCTGTCATATCCAGTTTGCTTTCTTCCTCTTTCTCTTTCTGTTTCAAACGTTGCTTTTTCGCTTCAGATATGGACTTCCTTCGCCAGTCAGAGGTGCGTTTCGTTTGAGGCTCCATAATTTGATGTAGCAATCTCCTTTTTCGAACCTCTAACTCCCACAACGATTTGCTAAGCCGGTTCCTCTCATTGCAGAGCTTCATAGAGTACGACATGCGAATATCTTCCAGACTTCGGTCGAGCACCAAGTTACGCTCCCGCTGTCGCTCGTAGTAACCGCGGACATGTTCCAGTTGTTTGGCGGGATTACTCCATAAAATGGCGGGAAGAAAACTGTCCTCTTCGGTGATCGGCGCAGCGTACATTTTCAATTCTTCCTCAACAACAAGCTTGCACTTATGCGGCTAATCCACGCCATCCGCTTTGTTGAAGCACCTCTCTACTGTTTTCCGTAATATCTAGTTTACATAAGTAGGTTCAACTGCCGCAGCTGTCGGCGGCTTTCAATAGAATGGCGCTGTTTGCGCATTAGAGTTTTGACAGCTATTAAAACAAAAAGACTGACAGTATTTCTACGTCACTGATACGATCTTGGAGTGGGTAAATATGCCTGATCGCTGCTATTTGCCCCCAGATAGGTTTACAGATTAGCAAAACCCGCACGAACTTTTTTTTCTTTTTTCAGTTTGCAAAAAGATACGTTAATAAGCGGTGGTTGTGAGCTCTACTCGAAAATTAAGGTTATTCAACAATTTATTGTTAAGTCAGCATTAGCAACCCAACTTGGCTGCCAAACATATTTTAAATTTGGAACTCATTATTAATTAATAAGTTAAGGACTCGTTTCTGCAGCGGATATCTTTTCCACAAGTAATTTGCTAAGTGTGTTTACAGTGCAAGAGCACAATATCTGCTGCAAAATACAAATTCATTTTTGTGGTTTGAAATGATTTGCCGATATTTCTAGGCCAAAGTTGTGGTTAACAGTGTTCTTGACTTCTTCGGCAACAAACTAATTTTGTCATATAAATTAGGACAGCTTTCTTTGTCGTTGTAATTTGCAAAACAAATTGAATATTTAAAATTGAAAGGCACCCGAAGCTTGTTTGAATATGGCAGTGATGCTACAAACAGGACTTGTAAACGAAACAGTGGCATTTGAATACAATACATACGTCTTTTTGCTGTAAATCTTTTACGATTCGATATAGAAAACAACGATCGACTGTTTCGTTTTCTTGAAAATTTTTTGGCTTTTAATCAGTAAAATCTCACTTCGATGGTAGAAACCTGGGGGAACTTAATATTCATGAACAACCGCAGTGATGGGAAATTAACCTTGTGTTAAACAAAGCTTTAGAGAAATTTAAGTGGAACTTCTCAAACCAAAAGCCTCGCCGATAACTCCACTCATTATCAACGTGTTTTTCACAAGTCGTTATTAACGAGCGTCGAGTACAAGAGGCTCTAATTAATTCATTTGCAAATACTTTTCAAAAATATTAGCTTTTTCTCCATCATTACCTCCCTAACCTTCCATGCCTTCTACCCCCCCTCTCCACCCTACTCAGTCTTTTTCTTTTCACGTACCTACTCACCCATTAACAAATTGACGTCAGTTTTTAATGCGTGTGTCTTTTTATTGATCATGAATTTCGTCATAACATTGTCAAAGTAGTCTGCGGATCCACTCGGTTATCGGCTATCGCCTCCGCAGACTACTTTGACAATGTTATGACGAAATTCATGACCAATAACAGAACAGACGCATGAAAAACTGACTTCAATTTGTTTTTTTACGATAACAAATTGTCAAATTGTCCGCTCTCGCTCGTTGACGCATCGCAAAAATGATAAATTCATGTGTCTGTCCGCTTATTGACAATGAAAATTAGCCACTGAGCGCGCGAAAATTTCTGCAGTTATCGTAAAATGTTCTTTCGACAACCCTTGAGAGGGGAGAAAACAAGGCTAATTTGAAAACCTCAAGCCTCTAAGGACAGCTTTAGTTTTCGTTTGTCTAAATGGAGCTTATTGAAAGCAACTTGCTAAAAAGAATATACAAAATGTTACGAGTAGTTGCGAGCGCAAGTTTCCTGGGTTCTAATTCAGTTTTATTCCAGCATTTCATTTCGAGCTAAAATTGAATAAGTAAATAAGCTTATAGGTTGGGGGATCGTGTAAAAGAGCCTTTTTTCGGTTTCCTCTATTCAATCTGGCTGATAATCTGTTCTCTTCACTTGAACAGTGGACACCGTATTGAATGAGGTTACACAACCTCGTTCTCAGGGAGTTTGGTAGGGAGAATTCACTTATTGACATAAGCAAAAATAACGGAGTCAAAGCAAGGTAAACGCAATGAAATCGTTTCTGAGATTCGCACCCGTCCACTGATGTATTTTGATGTTGTTGTCGTATAACGCCTCCAACTGGCTCCGTATCAACAAAACACTGATAGATGAAGAGCATTCCCAGTAGCAAAACATGATAAA